GGGAGCTACCAACCGCCGCCCCCCCCCCCCCCCCCAAATGTCCTGTGTACTAGAGAGGAGTTAGTGTTAGGATGTTTCCCGTCTGGATGCCTAGGGAGCGCTGTCCCTCGCATGGAGGTATTGTAGGGGTGGATCCATCAGAAAAGCAGCAGTAGCAGCATTCAGTGCAGAAAAATATAAAATGATGATATATGACAGGACACAAAGTTTGCTTTCAGTTTGAGGTAGGATCTCACCATTTTGGACTTTGCCGTGAATTCGTTATTGTAAAAAAAAAATAACCCCCCAAAACAACAAATGAAACAGGAGGCAAAGGTTTGCTCGTTCCTAGCAAAGTCAGCAAATATAGGCTTTAAGAGGAATTGCTAATGTCTTTTTTTTTTTTTTCCTGTGCAGGAGTTAAGCTGTTGATGGTGCTTCTGCAAGTCTTTAAATAGATGACATTCAGGGAAAACAGAGCTTGTTTTCTCCTTACCTTTATCTTATCCTCGTTCAAATAAGCAGAGCAAGGTCCCAAATTTCCCAATGCTTGCTGAGGTAGCAGTCTTTTTTCTGATGAAGACTGCAGCAAAGGGATTTATAATCAAAGATGAGGACATTTTTAGTCAGGCAAGAAATAGAAGAACATCTTGAATTAAAATTTGTGGGGGCTAAGTGTACAGCCTTATTTTGGGGATTAAATCCAGGAGATTTTAGACAAATAATCGAGCTGATTATAAAGGGCTAAGATATTTAACTTTATCCTTTTCCCATATAAGCTGAGCATAGTTCATCGTAACTCCCAGGGTCTGTGCACAACAGAAAGCAGAAACTAAAATCCTGACTAGATTTCAGTATTTTGATAATTTTGATACCTTTGGTTGAAATCAAAATTCAGGATGTAGGTTAAGGAGTGGGTTAGAATTAAAGTTGAAGAAATCCAACGATATAGAAGTACAGATATTTAGGATTACATTTCTAAACTATCTTATGTTCCTACCTAGAGACTTGTCTCTTCTTGTTTGGAGGGAGAAGGTATTCAAAATGCCTAGCACAGAACAACTCATTTTATATTTTTTCTACTCTATCTCTCTGACAGTAAATGTGGTACTTTGTTCATGTGTTAACCTTGTGCTTTTTATGTAGGTGGGCTGCGGGTGTTTGTAAATACATTAGTCTCCCACCGTATCTAATAAGATTTTATTAATTTGTTGGCACAGTTATCAGGGCTGGTCCTGCCAGGAACTGGATTCTCTCAATACATGAGAAACTTGGAGTTTCGGGAAGGGGGTTTTAGTGATCCAACAAGGGACTTGTAAGAATGGCAGAACAGGGACGCATTCCCCGTCCCCTGATGGATAAATGGCTCAAACAGTTTTAATTTTTTTTTCTTCTTCATTATTAAAGAAAGATCTTCCTGGAAGTAATAGAAATGTAACTGCTTTGATTGATATTTTCTAAAAAGTCTCAGTTTGGAAACAGCTTGTCTACTTTACTTCAGTTTTGATGGAATAAATATTTTTTATCTTTGGATGGGCTTCCCTAGCGGTCAAGTTTCATGTTGCCATCAATCTCTGTGTAGAAAAGGGCAATTTATTTTAAGACTGGATGATGCTGACAAGCCCTTCTGATGTTGCTATTTAAATTATGGTCAACATTTAAAACCAGGGTTTTATTATGTAACCCTTATTCATAAGTAGGGATCTTGGTTTTCTCTGTTTAAAAAAAAAAAAAAAAAAAAAAAAAGCAAATTCTTTGATTAAAAACCCCACAGTCCACATTTTCCCATGGTTAAAATGAAACACCATATACATATCAATTGAACACAATATTTTGTTGATTTATTTACAGTATTAAAGCAGTGTGGAAGCCTACCAGTGCCTCAATCACTATAGTAAAATAAATTCTAAATACCTGTAAACTTTGGCATTTGATTTTGGGTTTTTTATCATGGAAAATCTGAGTCCCCCCTGCCCCCTTCACCCACCAGGACATGTGAGTCCAGCTGTGGCTGCCTCCCCACACTGCTTTGTGGTGCTGAGCAGCCCTGATATGCTGGTGTCCTGCCCATGCCAATGCCGCTCTGTCCCCACCCACCCACCCACAGCCCCTGCCCCCTCCAGCCCTGCTGGACGGTGGGGCCCCAGCTGCCAGGCCTACAGGCCCAGGGACCTGGGTCCACAGTGCCTGAGCCCCAGCTGTTGCCTGTGGAAGGTGGTGACTGCTGCTGCGGTGGAGTGGAGCATGGAGCCCAGCTCCCCTTCCCCCTTGGGTGACATGGGCACCCCTTGCCTGCCCAGCAGCAGCGATGGGCACAACTCTGCTCCACCACCCTCACTGCTGCCGGGAGGACAGGGGATGCCTCGCCATGGTGGCAAGGAGCTTCTCTGCCTGGTCTTGCTCTGCCCTGCCACGCTGGGTCCCACACACTGGGCTCTGGGGACCCCAGGAGGAGGGCAGCAGGACGGTGAGCCCAAGCCCACGGTGTGCAGTCTGTTCCCGCCCCATGCACAAATCTGGGGGGCATGTGCCACCCATGTATCCCTGTGAGTGTGTGCAGTAGCAGGGAGCCAGCCCCGCTGTCTTGCTCCCAGCCTGGGCCCTGCAGCCCCACACACCACCCAAACTGGGCAGGAGCTCCCTCCCTCACTATGAGCGCCTCAATATCTCCCCTCCCCCCACCTGCCAGACTTACCTGCGGGGAGCTGCTCTCCAGGTTGCCTAGCAGCTACGTTCATGTGTGTGTGTGCACGCACACATGGCACCTCCTGCCTAACTGCCCTCCTCCCGCTCCCTGCAGCCCCTTGCAGGCTGGAGCTCTGCCAGCCTGCAAGGGGAAATCCATTGTTTCCCATGTTTTTCTCTTTTCAAGGGGAAAATCTGGGTTTTTCTCTTCAAAATGAGAAAATCCGGGTTTTACTGTGTTTTTCCGTGGCGAATTGAAAACCCAACCCCCTGGTCATAACTAGGGTTCTATGAAGTGGTCCCATTAAACAAAGGGTTTTTTCAAATTTGTTTTTAATTTTCTTCTGTGTGTGTTTAGGCACTGGGGAACACTTTAGGATGTGAGAATTCAGGAATTCTCTTTTGATAAAGATCTACTTTTGCTCGATTTCATTGATCAGTTTTGAAGCACATATCCCACTGCCTGCAGATAGTTGTAGACAACAGTGTGATAAAAATGTACTTAAAATGGAAAATCAGATGCACCTTTTAGTCTTGGAGTAGCAGCTGCCACTCTAAGATAAACTGAACATCCATAACACTTCAACGTTGTTATTCTTCTTTTTAATTTATGTACATATATTTGAACTACTCTTTTTTTCAGGCTCTCCTGAAGTGGAGATATAGTGTTGATCATCTCTCAACGTCCATGGAAATTTCATACTCATATTAATTTAATTTTGTGTGGCGAGGGATATTTTAATTTTCATAGTTTTCACAAGTGCCTTCCTACTTTGCACATCATCATGGAGCTGTCTCATTGCAGGTTTCTCAGCCATACTTAAAAACAATGCAGTGCTCTTCTATTTATGGCATGCTGTCATCATTGGTGCTCTAATGGTAACACTAGTCATTTAGTTGGTGTTTTAGCTGTCATTTTTTTTTTCTTCCTGGAGAAGTTTTTCTAACTAGGTTATTTACATGGCTTTTGGCATTAAATAACACTTCATATCTGTTACACACTCTAGAATTTGTTTAAAACTGTAAAAACTTTTAGATTCACAAAGATTTGAACCAAGGAGGAGTCAGAACTAGGAGATTCTGCAACTTGCACAGTGCAAACACGGAGAGCCGTGTTTTGGGGTTACTAGAGTTCCCATCAGGGTTTGTGTCCTTACGCTTCTAGGTTACATAGCTACAAGTATTATGCTCCAACCAGCCAATTTCTAGTTCCAAATTTGAATATTCAAGGTATAAAATCAACTAGAATTATAGTCAGTTTAAAAAATCAGTTTGATATATCAGTTTGCTATATCTTCCTTTCTCTGTGACTATAAAGCCACAGAAATTGAAAAGAATTTCAATTCAAAAAAGAATGTTTTCCTCTTCCTACATTTTTTCTCTCTTCTTATACAGGAGATGAATTGATTAACCCCATGTCAGAAGTAGTAAAATTGATTTACATGCACCCTATGCACACAGCTACATGCAACATAGAGAATTTTTTGTCCCCCCGTTTGTTTGTAACCTTAGAAAAGTGAGGCTGGAAAGGACATCTGAAGGTCATCTAGTCCAACTGCCTGCTCAATGTGGGACTGTTCTGTTCAAGTGTTTGTCTAACCTGTTCTTATATAAATCTCCATCCTTGGACATTTCTAACCTCTCTAGGTAATCTGTTCCAATGCTTAACGACCAGTTTAAATGTGTTGGTTCATTTTTTTTTATACTAATCTTTAATGCTTTCTTAGTTTTATCATTTGTATAGTTTCCAATAGGATCCCATCTCAGACAAATAAGGCTGTAATTTGAGGTCTAGTCCAACCTCGTCCAAGATCATCTAAACCATGCCAGGTAAATGTTTATTTAGCCTGTACTGTAGCACATGTAATGATGGAGATACCATACCCTCACTAGGAACTAGCCTCATAGTTAGAAAGTTATTTTTATAGCTAACTTTAACCTCCCTTGTTGCAATTTAAGTTTATTATTGCCTGTCCTGTCTCTTTGGACACTCAGTCCAGCCATTTACCTCTTCTCTCTCTAACAACCTTTTTTTGTTTGTTTGTTTGTGGACTGTTATCAGATCTTCCCTTTTGCCTCTTCCCTGGAAGAAATCATCCTAACTTTTCCAGTTCTTCTTCGTATATCATACTTTTTAAACCTCTATTTTTTCTTGCTCTCCTCTGTACTCCTCTTCTATGTGTTCATACTTTTCTTGAAGTGCGATATCTAAAACTGGACCCAATGCTCTAAGCAAGCCCTCGCCTTTTCTGAATAGAGTGGAAGTATCAATTCCCATAGCCTACATGTGGCCCTTTTGTTAATACATCGCAGTATGTGGTTAGTGGTTCTTGCTTGTTTTTGATTTGTTTTCAGAACTACCTGGTTGACTCATACATGGTTTCCTGTCCTTTTCTGCAGTACTGAAGGGTAGCTAGTTTCCGTTTTTTGTATTCGTGCATTTCTCCTTCCTAACTGCAATACTTTGTACTTGTCCCTATTGCATTTTACTCCATTTTATTTTAGACCATCTTTACAATTTGTTAGGGTCATTTTGCATCCTAATCCTATTCTCTAAAGTGTTTGCCACCCTATCCAATTTGTTGTCATCTACAAATTTCTTAAATGCACACTCAGTTGTTTCCTCCAAGTTATTAATGAAGGTATTGAACAGAGATAATAGCCAATAGATCAGCAATTATTTAAGCCAGTTCTTTGGGTACTCTACAATGAAATTCATTAGGACCTGCTCATTTGAAAACATGTATTTGATTTTAGTAAACCTTACCTTATTCTTTCCCTGCTCACGACTGCATGCCTTCTCCCTGTTCATACTTCTAACTGAGCTTACTAGCTGATAGTTGACCTTTTTGTGAGGACTAAAGTAAAAAAGGCTTTAGAGACCCCTTATTGTTCATTATTAGCTTCCCTTCCTTGTTCAATAAGGACCTTAGCTTTTTTATGTTTTCCTATTACTTCTAAAGGGTTAATTGAATAGCTTTCTGTTATCCTTTGTTTCTTGCTAGTTGTATTTTAGTTTGTGCCTTGGCCTTCCTGATTTTTATCTATCTGTGCTTGAATTAAATTCTTAAACTCATCCTTAGTGATACGGCCAAGTTTCTATTTTTTGTAAGATTCCTTTTAAAGTTGCAAGTCACTGAAGAGCTCACAGTTTAGCCAAGCAGGTCACTTGCTGTGTTTCCTATCTTTCCTCCTCAATAGGATAGGATGCTTTTGTTCCCTTAATATTGCCTCTTAGAGAAACAACAAACTCCCAGGTAGCAGGACTTCTTTTTTGCCGGAGACCAATTTTCTGAGTTTAGAGCTGCTTTTCTGAGGTTCAGGATTTCTGTTCTGCTGTTTTCCTTTCTACCTCTCCTTAGGATTATGAACTCTTATTTTAAGAGTTATTTTAAGATTCTTAACCTATTCTTCCCTATTTGTAAGAAACAAACTAAAAAAAAGTTTCTCTGCTAAGTTTTCTCTGCCCACTGTACCAAGGGGTTATCCCCAGCACAGTTCAAGAACTTGTAACAGCAGTGCAGGCTGTCCAACATTTCAAGAATCTATCATGGTAGTGAAGACCCCCATTAAGCAGCAGGTCCTCTCATTTGGATGTTAGTTGTATTTATAAAGCCTCTTCCATTTCCTCCTTATGGTGCTCTGTGGTAGCCACTAACTATAACACTGTCCTTGCTGTATTCCCCTTTTCCCTTATCCTAGAAACTTTTAATAGGTTTGTTTTGGTTCTCAGAACAAGAGTATTTGTCTTTAAAGCAACTCCTCTTCCATATCTTCTCTGTCCTTCCTGAATAAACTGTAGCTATCCATATCAGTGTTCCACTTACATGAACTGCGCCACCAAGTTTTGCTTATCTGAATTTGATCATAATTTTGTGTGTGCTAGGACTTAGTTATCCCTGATTACTCTTCATGCTTCTTGCATTTCACAGACTAATACCCGCCAGCATATCTACTATTTTCTCCAGCTTGGTGTCACCTGCATGCTTGCTTAGGATGCACTCCATTCCATCTTCCAGATTGTTGACGAAGTTTTTGAACAAAACCTGTCCCAGGACCGACCTCTGGGGCACTCCACTTTATATCGGCTGCCAACTAGACCTCAAGCCGTTTATTACTAACCGTTATGCCTGATGATCCAGCCAGCTTTCTGTCCACCTTACAGTCAATTCATCCAATCTGTACTTCCTCAGCTTGCTTGCAAGAATGTGGTGGGAGACTGTATCAAAAGTCTTGCTGAAGTCAACGTATATCACATCCACTGTTTTCCCTGCATCCCCAGTGCCAGTCATCTCATCATAGAAGGCAGTCAAGTTGGTCAGGCATGACTTGCCGTTGGTGAATCCATGCTGACTGTTCCTGATTACTTTGTTCTCCTCCAAGCACTTCGAAATGGATTCCTAGAGGACCTGCTTCATGAGCTTTCTGGGGACCAAGGTGAGGCTGACTGGCCCACTTGTAAGCGTCCTTTTTGTGTCTAAGCTCACCAAAGAGTTCTCTGCTAAGCCAAACTGGTCATATGCTGTATTTGCTATTCTTTCTGCACATTGGGATGGATTGTTCCTGCACCCTCATCAGTAAGGTTTCTTTTAACATACAGCCAGCTCTCCTGGACTTCTTTCCCCCTCAGACTGGCCTCCCAGGAGATCCTGCCCATCAGTTCCCTGAGGGAGTCAACATCTACTTTTTTGAAGTTCAGGGTCCACCTTACAGATCATTCATCCAGGGTCCATACTCTGCTGCTCTACTTTCTTCATTTTGTCAGGATCCTGAACTTGGTCATCTTGTGGTTACTGTTGCCCAACTTGCCAGACACTTCTACATCCCCCATCAATTTTTCCTTATTTGTGAACAGCAGGTCAATAAGAGCATGGCCCCTAGGGTCTCTTGTATACGTGATGGTGGAACCATGTACATGTGACAACGTGATGACAAATCATCATTTGTCTAATATAATGGTGTCACTGTGTACATGTGCATGATTTTTTTCATGTAAAAATTAATTTGTGTGTGGCAACTTAGACCACCTCTGATGTATTTTAATTTGATTGGGACAACTTGTCCCACTGTAGATTTAAAAAAAAAAAATCATGCATGTGTACATCATGTCTGACTCCCAGAGAAGGCAGTGCATGGGTAGCTGGAAGCCCAGATGGGCTCATGGAAACTCGGGGCACTGGAAGCCTGCCGAGCCCGTGTACTGTCTCCGCTGCCTTCTCTGGCCACCAGCACACGCAGCTGCCCTCGTGCTGCCTTCTCACACTGCCCCAGGGGCAAGCCAGCTCATTCCCCAGTGGTCCCAGGCAGGTGGAGAAGGCAGCGGGGCTGGTACACAGGGCTCTGGAAACCTGCCAAGCTCAAGCTTCCCCAACCATGTCTGGGCTTCCAGTGCCCCATTCACTGTTGGATTGGGCTGGGTGCTGCCTGCCTATGAGCTGGGGCAGCATCCGCCCAGCTAGCACCCCTGGGGGGCACTGCTGCCACAGAGGGAAGCACCAGGCCCCCCAGCAGCTTGTGCAGGCTGGCTTCACTAAGAACAGTCCACCTCCATCCTCTTTTCATAGAATCATAGAAGTCGGGTCGGAAGGGACCTTGTAGATCTTCAAGTCCGACCCCCTGCCTGGGCAGGAGGGAAACCGGGCTCAAGTGACCCCAGCCAGGTAGGCATCGAGCTGCTTCTTAAAGACCCCCAGGGTAGGGGCCAGCACCACTTCCCTTGGAAGTTGGTTCCAGATCCTAGCCGCCCTGACTGTGAAGTAGTTCTTACGGATGTCTAATCTGAACCTACTCTCCAACAACTTGTGGCCGTTATTCATTGTTATCCTGGGGGGCACTAGGGAAAAAAAGGTCTCCCCCAAACCCTTCTTGTCCCCTCTAGTGAGTTTATAGACGGTCACACGGTCCCCCCTCAGCCTTCTCTTGTGAAGGCTGAACAGGTTCAGGTCCCGTAGCCTCTCATTGTAGGGTCTGCCCTGCTGTCCCCGGATCATGCGGGTGGCCCTCCTCTGGACCCTCTCAATG